TATACTGAAACCAGAACTATACTCAGAGAACACGATGGAGTGCAGAGAATCAGATGAATCGATCAATCTTCAGAGTATCTGTTAATTTTATTTTCCAGTAGTAGTTCAAGGTTATTCAGGCAGTCACCTAACAAAAGCGCTGCAACTGAAATCTACTTAACAATGGGTTTTGATGTTTCACTACAGAGCAGTTCTTTAGAGATGAGTTATAAATATCCAGGAAAGCTGCACATTAAAAAGAAACTACTGAAAACCTTAGGTTTCCTGGCCCTGGCATGTGTTGCTTTTGATCTGCCTCAGCAACTATTACTTTGTCAATATGAGGAGTGAACACTGACCAAGGGCAATGCATGCCCATGAATTTTTACTGGCTGCAAACGTAGCTCTGCACAGGCTAAACCATGCTGGCAGAATGTAAGACCTTATATGCATTTTCTGTGCTGTTCTGTACAACACGTGAGGAATGCTAATCAGCATTTGAAAGGAAATGTGGGCTTTCAAAGAAGACCCACCAAAACGCAAAATGGGAATATACATTCCCCTACCAAGAAGTCCAGGTAGGACTTGTTATTCATCTGGAAGCAAATAACTCCCACTTCTCCCCTCTGCCATTTCTAACTTAAAACACAATCATTCTCAAAGGATCAGTACCTTTCAGATTTTTTCCCTTTTAGTAATGGAATTAAGAACATAACAAACAAACCTAAAGGCTAAACAAAATTGAGTAACAGTTGATATTTTCCTTCCCTGTACTGAATGTCAGCGTTTTGGGTTCATCACAATTTGGCCACCACCACCACAGCCTTTCCCAGAAGAATACTCAATTCACGTGGATATCCTCGGCAGTGCTCAAATCCTGGTGGCACCGTGACCTATTTTAGTTCCTGCCTGGAAATGGATACTGAACAACCGCAGGGCTCTGAGTGATGGTGAGGGACCGGGGAAGCATACAAAAGAAGGGGGTAGGACTGCAGCAGCGCCAGCCACACTGCTCTGCCTTTGAGATGAAGCAGCTTTGAGACAGGTTAACAGACAGCTAGACAGGCAAGGTGTAGGAGATTGCCGAGACAAAGGAACAGGGGAGAAGAGAGAGAACAAAAAGAGGGAAAAGTGGGACAGAGAGCCTGAGAAATTCGTAAGAAAGATCAGTTCTTGATCCTGAGCACAGGCAGCTTGAAAACATCCAGTCTGATGCAATGGGAGAAAGTAAGTTTACTTATTTATACTGTATTTTATCCTAATTGACACATCCAGCCTTCATCTAGCTGTGCTGGTCCACTTAAGGAAACCCTGAGTCCAAGGTAAGCTTAACAAGGTAACAGTTCACCAGGCAGTCTGTTTTCTTCAGAAATATCAACCGTTTGAACTCCAACAAGCAGATGAGCCAGAAGGACACCCATCCCTCATAAAATGCAAACAAAACAAAGGGAGCAAAGCAAACAGCATGAGTTTGGATTTTTAAATTGTATTTAAAGCTTGTGTAGGCTGTTCCCCCCTCCTCACTGCTCCCTGCGCTTGTGAACGTCTTTAGCATCCGAGCAAAACCTTGTCCTTGCGGCGCTGTCCCTCGGGCACGCACACAGATGAGCTTAGATGTGAGCCTGGCTGTCAGGTTGGAAACCTGAACAGCTCAGCTATGATCTTTAATAAAAATATAAACTGTTTGGTGCCTTTTTAAACAGAAACCCAACAAAAGCTTCCTGCTTGCTGTGAACAAGGTCCCTTTGGTGAGAGATTTGCTTTTTAATTTTGAACAGCTTCACAGCATTACCCTTAGCAATAAAAAAATAAAAAAAAAAAGGCAAAAGGAGATTTTGAGCTATTCAGTCAACTGTCTGGTAAGGATTCTCACTGAAATTAGCTTCTCCTAGCAGCATCACGTAGGAATTGCCAGTTTACATCCGTTCCACAAGTCATTTCACATCTTTAAAAGATGGACAAAGTGCTCATTTCATTTGATCGAAAACAGAAAGCCACAAAAGCCACCGCGGCTGGTGGAGACCCTGAATATCAGCATTTCTCAGTACTAATTGTGCTAAGGGTGCTGGCTCCATGTTTCAACAGCTCAGTGTTCCATCCTTTGCTTTCTTTAATTTCTTTTTAAGCTTACATGGGAAAAGAATATCAGCTTTCATTTCAAAAAAAATTCATTATACTAAATATATACAATAACGAGCTGAATTCACCCTTCAGAATGTCTTAAAATGTCACAACACTGAAGTATTTCACTTGTAGATAGAAATTTTTACTTGGATCAAAGCCTAAAATTTAGCTTCTCTCTTTTAAAAACAAACAAAAGCTATGAAACCCAGGACCTTTTCAAAGGAAGCAGGGAAAATATATTTTCAAATGCTTTTTCATCCTACTCTGAATGGCAAAAGCTTATTTTCATTTAAACATTTTTCTAAAGTATAGGAAACTGAAAAGAGTTTCTAAACAAAGGGGGAAAGTAAACTGCTTCATTTCATTCTCTCCAGGAGTAAAATGGCAAAAGCAAACAAACACCTGTGCCTTTCAGCTGCACCTTTTAAGTCATTGCAACACATTTCTTCAGTTTAGTGCTGAACACACCAGTAACTGGTTTATCATTGTTTTCTGTCCTTCTCCCAAGGCATGCCACCTTCTATAGGGGCTGGCATTCTACTGAATGTTGGAAAGCATAGGCATAAGATATCAAAACCAATAAAGTCGTTTATAGATTTTCAGCATTAGTAGTCTCATTTTTATTAGCAAAACAGAGAAAGAGTGTTATTAAAGGAGGATCTTGGCTCTAATCCAACTTTAGAAATTGCTCCAAAGAAACCAAGGTAGCTTTACATTGTGTAAGAAAGGTGCGAGATCAAAACCAAGCCTGTGGCAGAGCTCTATCATGACATGATTTCTTTATAATAAAATATAGCGAAAGAAAATTAGTGGCACAAGAATTTTAATGCACCCCAGACACACATTTACAATGATTAAACAGATCAGTACTCATAAAACCCAAGGGTCCAACTTCACAAACCTTTACTCAAGCAAGCAGTTTCATTGAAATCAATGAGATTATTTGCATATGTAAGGACTATTTATCTCAGTTGAGATCTGTAGGTTTAGGCCACACATTTCTATTTAGATCTTCTAGGCAGCAGAATACACACACTTGGATGAAGAATGGAAGAACACTGGCACCTTGGAGTTAATTTTCATTTGTACCAGTACAGATTTCTCCAGCCCTCTGAAGCATTTGATAGACTGGGCATGTTTCAAAATTGGAAATGTTGGCAAAAATACAGATTTTCTGATGTGAAGAACTGCTACTCATGGATAATAAAAAAATCAATTCTTATTTGCATATTCAATCAGATTTCAGTTTGCATATTAAAGCATAAGATGGTAGAATTTTCACACAGTAGATGGATCCCACTCACTTATTCATGCATATATGTATCCACTAATCCTTACACATGCCAAAATCAGTGAGAAATACTCTCTGCTAGGCATTCATAGCACAAAAACACTGTCCCTGCTGCTGTTCTCAACCTTCTCTTTTCGTATAGTGTATGACAGCATTCTCCCACAGCTTTCTCCCAAGACTCTGTAATAGCCCCTGTTCTCTATCAGCCTTCTTTTCACCAGGCAAAGCAATAGTTTCAATTTTTGAATCATAATTTAAAAGGGATGCTGTCAACTGTATGTGTGAAGAACAAAAAACACTGGACCAGATTTTTCAAAGGAGCTTCAGCGTGGACTTGACAATTTCACTTATAACTGTCACTGCAAAACTGGACGTATCTTTCTGTTAATATTGAAATATTCTTGACTACAGCTAAAATTTGTAGATTTAGACTATGCATAGCTACTTTTCACATGCATCTATTAGGAAACAGAATTAAAAATATTTCTATAGGCCAGTACTATCCAAATACACAAAATTAATATTGTCCCATACATCGTAAGTCTAACGATAAATGATAACCCTGTAAGCTATGGTCTAATGTGCTGAATGCTTGCAACATCTGTGGGACTGGAAGGCAATCAGCGCTGTGAGCGATTAGATAACAGGTTTGACGGTCTTGTAGCCAGTCTGACAGTCTGGATACCTAATTTACATATAGAAGAGTGTCATATTCAGATACATTTTGCGCATTAAATTAAAAATTCAACTGGAAGCCTGTGCTTGAAACCCTAGCAAGTTGCAACAAGAAATGTTTTCATGTAATTAAAGGAAAAATTGATACAAATGATCATCAAAACTAAACCACAATCTGCTGCAGCAGCCTTTGTTAGGTCAAGCACAGGGGACTGAAAAAGTAGAACTGGGTTTCTGAAATAACCATGTATAAACAGAAATAATATATCACTCTCCCAGATGAGCGAAACACAAAAAATCAGCCATCATAAGATGAAAGCTGATATAGGATTTCTAAAGCAATGTCAGCTCTGATCAATTGAAACGTGGTTAGCAGCAGGTTAAGAAGGTATTTATTTAACAATGGGACAGAATCTAATTGACTTTGCAGGAGAGGAAAGAGGGCATGAAGGCAAGCCAGCATCAGCTCATTCTTCTTTTTCAGTCTTATTCATCCCTTTTCGGAGGGGGCAAAAAAACAATCCTATGCTCCCCAAGTGCGCATTTTGCTCTCTATGAGCACCAAGGTCACATTTGTATCCATGTACAGGCTCTCCCTTACAAAGGGCCAAGCTGCTGGTGACCCTGGCTCGGTCCCTTTGCACCGCCCTGGGCAGCTGTACTGTTCTGCCTCTGAAGAATGCCTCTCCACATCCTCACAGCATGCTGCAGCAGAGCTCTGCTCCCAGCTACAGGAGTCAAACTCTTCTGTTTTTCTAGCTCTAAAGAATTTCAACTATCCATATAAATAACGAGAAAATAGGGATTTGACCCAGTTACACATCTTATGACTCCTTGCATTAATTTGCTAATGCTAAATGTACTGGAAATCACAGCTTTCCTCAAAAACAGGCAAAAGAGAGAGGAAGAGAATTTGAGTTCAGGTTCCTACCTGCTTGGTTAGTTGTCACAGTGACTGACACAGCTTGGTCCTGGCTGGGATTTTGCTTGGACACTCCATTCACTGCCCAGACTTCAAAGGTGTAGTTAGTGTGTGCCAGGAGGTCAGTAATGGAGACTTTGGTGGTTTTCAAGCCATTCTGCTGGGGGCTGAAGTGCACACCACTGCCACAGGACCGGCAGCGGCTGAGGTCACCAGCTCCGCACCTCTTGCACACCACATTGTAGGAGACATCTTCCCGACCACCTTTGTTCTGCGGGGGGCTCCATTCCAAGTTCACTGATGTCTCATTGACATTGGAAATCAGGTTCTGGGGAGCAGAAGGAGGGCCTAGAAAGAAAAAGTCCACGTTTTTAATATGTGCAAAAAGCCTACATAGTGTCTTCAGGCTTAGGGTCCTGGGTGATAGTGAGCATGTGCAACTCCCAGTTAAGTCAAGGACAGCAGAGACCACAGAGAATTTTATTTCTCCATGTCCTTGAGAAAGGTGAAAAATTAACTGGTAAACCAAACTGATCTCTTCATCTGATCAATTAGCAGTATTTTCCAGATCTAAATGAGCTTGAAAGCCCAGTATTTTTTCAATTTCACTATTTGGACTTGTTATGAAAAATGTAACATTTATGTATTTTACATGCAGTTTTCCATGACCTCCCAAGAAAAACATCAAATGCACAGAACTCCCACTTCACTGGAGATTTTTAAGGTCCCCCATTACCTACAGACAGATTCTCACTGAAATTGCTGATCTCCCGATATTTTTTTCTTAAGAACAGAAGTGCAGTATTTTCCAGACAAGTTGATGTCAGATGGCATTCAGTGAAGGCTGAAGCCATCAACTGGGAAATGACACTTTGGGATGCAGGAAAGAGAGCTGATTAGAAAGCTGGACACAGAACTAGGGCTTTGAAGGGCAGAGAATGAAGGTTACAATAGGGGAGTGCTGGAGAATGTGAAAGAATTGGAGAGGAAAATATGGTGAGCAGCTGAAAGAAGAGCTGATAAAAGAAAACTGGGCAAGAACAAGAGACCATACAGAAAGCTTGGAAACAAGGCTGAATCAGGGACACAACACAGGCTCTTGCACCACAGGGACAGGAGACACTAAGACTCATAAATATGCTGCCAAACAGTTCCCAGCTGGTTCCAGCACAGGGACTGTAGGATTTGGGAACAGAGCTGCTGGCAGGATGCAGAGGACTCCCTGGGCAAGAGAGGTGCAGAGCTAAGTGAAGGGAAGGGGCGGCAGAGGCAAAGCAGAGCCCGCAGGAGGCAGCTCCTCTAGGCACCTTCAGCAACCCGCTGGGACTGTAATGGTCGGTTCTGCCCGACTGGGCAAAGTGCCTCCAGCAGCACCCTGCCTCGTTCTGTAACAGTAATCTTATTTATATGCTGAGATCCCCATGGGCCCAAAACCAGTAAGAAAACTGAAAATGCAGAAGAGCTAATCCTGTGACTCTTAATCTGATTTCAATACAGCTGAGGTGAGACACTTCTTGTAACCTTAAATTTAACAATAATGATTCTGAGTAACTCTATGAAACAGAGGGGTATTTTGTACATCACAAAAAGCTTCATCGAAAGCTGGAGTAGAGCATGAGGGGACTCTGACTACACACACAGTACTTTGAGACAGGACATAGGGTAAATACTATACCAAATAGAAATGAAACAAAGAGTGAGAACAAAGCTTGCAAAATGTAATGATCCAGACCAGAATACAGTAAAAACAGCAAGTCTTAGTAATTACTCAATGCTTTAAACACAAATATTATTACCATGAAAATACTGGGAATAATTCTGCAGAAAGTCCCAAATTCAATTTTTATTCAAGAAATAGGAGAGTTTGTGAAACCTTCTTAAATTTTATCAAAATACATTTGATAGTTTGAATGCAAAAAAATGTTCAGCCAGGTTTCCTGACAGAAAATGAAGGGACAAAGTTCTGACAAGTTCCATACCAGGTTTTCCATTGCTGTTATTTGTCAAATGTTATGAAACTGGGGGGGCGGGGGGGGGGGGGGGAGATACGCCAACAGTTTAATTAAGTGTATAAATAAATCAATCATAATGCCACATGCCAAAGGTACAAAAACAGCCATCAAGGTAAATGGGAACCAAATACATTATGCTGAAACTCTGCTGAAATGAAAGTACCTCAAGTGTAGCTGTGGTTAAGCTGCTAAGAGGTGGCTATGGCAAAGATTAATTCTGGTTGCCTTGATTCATCAGGTGCATCTAAAAGGAAGCCTGAGACCTGAGCACTCTGTGGAGGATAAGGTTTTGAGGGCTGTAGCCTGTCCTTGGGTCTGTGCTTGAAGCTGCCAGGATGTAACACATTTTCAGCAGGAGACAGAACTTTTCTTTCAAAAGAGGCAGGTTAGAAAAAGAGACTTAAATTACACAGAGGTCAAATGTATCTAGTTATCTTCAGTACCTAAATGAAAGGCCTCTGCTGCAACAGTAGCTGAGCAAAGATTGTTTCTCTGCAGTCACTTCAGAAATACAAAATTAATATATTCATTTTGAAAAGAGGGAAATCCTCCCTTCCTGCCAAACCTTTGAAGCACTCTGAGTTAATCAGGGCTGACAGGTAGAATTACTGCAAGAAGAGAGAGCCGGGGCCAGCCCCTGCGATGGGGAACCCTCCTGCTCACTGCACCACCAGGCTGCCATTCATGACATTTATTTATACACTGGCAGCATTTAGGATTCCTAACGACAAAACCCTTTTATTCAAAGATCAGTTACCAAACACAGTAAGAGACATTTCCTGCTCCAAAAATGCTTAGAAACTAGCAGGGAAATAAAAGGGAAAGAAAGTGGGTTTTATCTCTGTTAATTACATGGAAACTGAGGTAGAGAGATGTGGTGAGATGACAAGGGCACACAAGATGTGCCTTGCACATCTGGGAATCAGTCACAACGCTCCCAAGTCTCAGCCCAGTGCCTTTGCCCCATCACCATCCCTCCTTCTCCCACAAGCTGGGTTTGTCAGCTCCCCTGGGCAGGAGAAAGCAGTCTCTGCTTAGCCTGCAAATACATAAGCCTCCTTTTCAAAAGAGGAGCCACTCCAGCAAGTGCAATGAGGTGGAAGACATTGCTGCAATCATGAACTTGAGCAGCAATGCAGGAACTGCTGAGCAGAAACTGATCTAAACTCACCTACCCTAAAACCCCTAAAAATTGCCTCACACCAGGGCTCTCTCTTCAGGGCAGGCAGGTGCACAAGGTTGCATTAGTCCCTCAGCACTATCAAGGAGGCAGGAGAACAAGCAAAAAGACCTCCTCAGAGGTCTGTCCTCCCAGTGGCCATTCAGCTCCTGGAAGCAGCAAGCCCTGCACAGAAACTTCTTCTATGGGAAACAGCAAGAGCTTAATGGCGAGAAAAAGCAAAAGGTGTGTTCTTACATATCATTCGCTTGCTGCAATCACATAAGTGAGAGCATCGGCTCGGAGCGCAGCCAGGAGCGCTGAGATAAGGTGGTGCCTGTGCAAGCACTTCCCCTCCCTGAGCAACGCCAGGCACTGCCAGGGCTGCCCTCGTTTCAGGGGAATATTTGTGAAGCAAAGCACTCTACATGAGGAAGGTTCATATTGCCACAGTTTCAGCATGAAAGATGTGCCTTTTAGCTCAGATACAGCAGCCAGTTTGGGGTTAAACTCAGACTTGCTCTGATGTCCATTAAGGCATTTTCCAAGGCTCTAGGTCCAGTTTCACATGGGAAAACGTGCCAGAATGAATCAAGCTCCTCAGAAGCAAAAAGTCAGTAATTAGTATGTGGGACAGGGCACTGCAGTGTCTAAACAGAGATGCAATGAAGTGGAAAACCAGGGAAGCAGATGCTTGCAGGTCACAGAGATGAGCACACCACCTCCAGTATGAAAAGGAAGATACGGGGGAGTCTCCAAATGGTGGGCTCACATTACATGAAGGAAAAAGCAATTTCTTTTCTTTCTGGAGCATAGTCATCAATAGAGTTGTTGGCACTAGGAGTGGGGAATAGTTTCAGATTGATGGGCCTGGTTTCAGATGTTGAAACACAGGGCGTATCTGCTCCTTCCTTCAATGGTGATCAGGATTTGCTGTGTTTCTGACAACAGAGCCACTGCTGCCAGAAGAGACGAAAACCCCTTCAGGGCCATGGCAAGCTGGAATTGCCAGAGCAATTCCAGGACAAACCCAGCTAGCAGGATCCTGCAGAAAGGGCGTCCTGGAGCCAGACCACTGCCCTCACACAAACCCTCTATCCTCTGTCAGCAAGATCTAGCTACAGGGCAGCTGAAAGGGAAGACAGGGAGCTGTGCCTCTGAAAATTGTACCAACGTCTGTGATTTTGTTCTGAGTCCCATGATTTACAGCATTTTTCTTAAAACTCCTGCTGATGGAAGCATACTATTGCACGAACCATTTGGCGCTCTGGAAGCATGGAACTAATACTGCCACACTGACCAGAAGAGCTTAAAATCGTGACAGTTCCTACAGGAAAAATAAATCTAGACATTTTTTATTTTGAAAAACTAATTTTAAAGTTCATTTTGTGATGTTAGGAAGCCAGATGCTCTCGCTTCCCCTGCCCAAGACAACAGAACCTGAGGGATGGAACTGCAGAGCCACTTGCACTTCTCCCATCAGGGACTGCAAAGAGGACACAGTTTGATCATGGGGCCTGAAAGCCAGATCCCCCAACCCAGAGCATTTACCATCACCATCAGCAGACACTGGGGTCTCCTCTGTGGGAACACAGGGAACGGAAGTTTTTCATTTTATTCCTTCCTGGGGCTCTGTAAATCTTGCTTCACAATAAACCTATGGAAATCAACTCAGCCATGAAACAAATGGAAAGGCCCTGGGTGGAGCAGTTCAGCTTGTGTGTCAGGACTGAGGAAAACATTCAAGAGTCTGTTTAGCAACAAATAATCTTTGTCAAGATAATCTTGCTATCTTCTTCAACCCTCCTATTAGATTAACTGAAACATATTGGGCAATGCAGATTGTTTTTCTTTTGCTTGCTGCAATAAGCTATAGCTATTACATCTATCTGTCTCTTTCATCCACAGATACAGATCTGTCTGTCCTAAGGACAATGTTGTATCATATGTCAAATGAATATTCAGGAAAACTAGAGCTTTTAAGGTGTTAACAAATGAGCCTTACTTTTGCTAAAAGAGCAAAAGTATTTTAGCACTCTTACTACAACCTTAGGCTGCATTTTAACTTTTCATCTACCAACATTTCTCTCCCTCATTTCCTACAAAGCACTCAAGTCCCACTCCAGTCTGCACACCACTGCAACACTGATAAAGGCCTGATGAAAACCATGACAAGG